CTTGCGGAAAGCGCTTATCTTTGATAAATATGATTAAAATTGATTAAAATATTAGAATAGATTAACATCGGTTTAGGCGTAATAATCGATTAGCAGGCCGCAATGAATTGAAATAATGAATATATAACTAATAGATTAGAACTGATTCAAGCCATGCATGATGTGAGAAAAGGATGAAAAAAGATTATAGTAGATTTAGAATTTATTCAATTTTTGATTACAAAGAAATCGCTTGAAATCAATTTTTTGTGATCAATATCTGTTTAAAATCTTACTAAAACTGCTCCAGTTAATCAATTTTTCAGTCATGACAAGGTTGATTACAATCAGATTTGTTTTTCTTTTTTTTCTTCATGTAAGGTGACGTTAGGCATATAAAAAGTGGGTTCTATGAGGTCGTACCAGAGTTGGAACCGGACAGGTCTTTTCTGTCCGGTCCGGTCCGGTCCGCAACCGGCCGGACCAATTTTACAGCCAAACTGGCAAAAATCCGGCGAAAATAACCGATCATAAAAGTATCTGTTAACAAAAAATGTTGGCGAAAGGGAATTGAATATTCACATGCAGAAATCCCAACTAGGGGTGATCAATTTACGTTTACGAAAAATTTGTAAATCCAAAAATAAATTTTAAGAAATTTAAATTAAAAATAAATTTTAAAAAGGTTTTTGATTTCGAATTTAAATTGGATTTACATAAATTTAAATTTTGTAAAATTATTTAAATTTATTTAAATCCAGTTTAAATCAATATAAATTCAATCTAAATCAAATAAAATTCAATTTAAATTCATTTAATTGGATTTAAATCCTATATGTAAATGGATTTAAATCCAATTAAATGAATTTAAATTGAATTTTATTTGATTTAGATTGAATTTATATTGATTTAAACTGGATTTAAATAAATTTAAATAATTTTACAAAATTTAAATTTATGTAAATCCAATTTAAAATTATAATAAATTAACAGCAAATCGCCACTCTTAATCCGAACTGGAAACTAAAACTTGGGACTGAAACTCTCCCGTCATATTTTATAGCAAGGTGCGTCTACTTTTCGAGCCCGACATCGATATAAATTAGCTATTCAGATCAAATCTGTTTTTCATCTTAATTTCAAAAAAAGAAAAAAAAAGCAAGTTTATAACACATCTAACATAAAAATGTAAATTTTTATTTTTCTTGATTCAGGCAGCTGCCTAAGTAGAACATGAGAATAAATTATTTGATCAAGGTTAAATTGAGCGATACACGAGAAAGAAATCGATAGAGCTATAAACAGAACAATCAATCGTTAATAGTCAAGTCGAAGACAAGATATCTATTGAGTCTTTCGCAAACACATTCTTCTGACTTGAAAATATCATAAAAAAACCATTTTCAGAAGAGAAAATTCTTGGATGCAAACAACAATTTTGTAATGATGAACTGGCAAAAATCCGGTTCCGTCCGGCCCGGTTTAACTTCTTGTCCGGTCTTGTCCGGTCAGGTCCGGTCCAGCCGGACCGGTTCCAACTCTGGGTCGTACACGTATCTAGCGTTACGTAAGTAGCGTAGTAATTTAGATAGTAATGAATTTCATCAAGAGAAAGAATCTCTTTGCTTTTTTATTTCATGCGTTATGAATCGTTTTAGATCGATGTCTAACGTACAAATGCAATTTTTCAACAAATACACAGTTCACAGCGAGAGATTATGGCATTGAATTGCTTAATATCAACTGTTCTCAATCACTATCGAATATCATCGTTGTAATAGCGGTTAAAACAACAGTAGGTACGACTTTTGCAGAGCAATATAACACATTTTTGCCTGGCACGATCAATCAAACTCATCAAGATACGAGCTCAGCAATTCTTTATACGTGGCGTATTGTCAGAGGACAAATAATTCAATGGGCCAGCGAGCCGTACAATGTCGAAGCACAGTTCAATTTCCTAGATACGACTCGAATAGTAAGCGATGATACCTATTCTTTTACCGGACAATTTACAGGATGCGATAGCCAAGTGGTTACATATACTGGACATTTCTGATATGCTCTTAATATGCAGTTGTTACAGTGCATTAGTACGCCTCAATTCTTTCTATTTTTTTTTCTTTTCTTTGTTCATTTCTTTGTCCATATCATATGTTCTATATTATCATCTTAACTAAGGATTACTTATTTTCTTCGACCTTCATTAGCCTTATTTACATGCATTTTTATAAATCAAAGAAGAGAAAATGCAAATAAAAAGCATATATCTTTCGTTAACAGCAGTATATTCATGCATTATACTTAAAAGAGTAAAGTTATCAGAGAACGATGAGAGATTTACATTTAGCAATGACTCAACATTTTCGGCAGTCTATCTTCTATCTGCATACAAGTGTTCTCTATGTCGAGACATGATTAGTGTTGAGTAATAACATTAATATTTTTGATAAAAAATGTTTTTCGTTCTGGGTGTGGATGGGTGTGGGTATGTACTTTCAGATCTTCTCGTCAACCACACATCCACACCCACACTCTACTACCCTGGCACCCAAGAATCGTCAGAAACGCGTTAAAACGCCGAAAATCGACAAATTAAAGCGTTTTCATGCGTTTTTTGGAAACTGGAGGTGTAAACGGAGGGTTTCTACGTATTTGTAGCATAAAAACGTATACTTTTACTACATCCAATATTTTTAATCGTTTAAACAAATCGAATTGAAACTTTCTCAGGGTTTAAACCACAAGTAACGCTCGTCGCTTCGACTCGCTTAGCCCTCGACTGAAGAGTTAAATTTATTTACATATCATTTTATTTTATTTCTCTGAGATAACTAATGGTAACATTAGATGTAACTGAGCATACCTGCTACAATACTGTGATCCTAATCTGTAATAGTATAGCTCAGTTAGAATTTTAATTATTCTCAGAATTAATATCGCCATTTTCCTCGACTGCTTATAGAGCTAAGTGTTTTCAAAAATAGTACCGTGGAATTCTCTCTTATGCAGCACAATAGTTAGAAAAATGCATTTACTTAAGTACTTGTTCCGTAGCTAATAATATGAGCAAAGATTAATCTTTTAATGAAAATTTATCAAGAAAAATAAATAATAGGTACTCTCATCTGCATCATATTATTACGTCTTTTCACGACATGAATAGTGGTCTATATCATGCACTGATAATAATATAAGATATGTTGCTTTCAATTGCTAGCTACCACTCATATATATGATCAACCTATCCACCATACAGATCAAACAGAATATTTTTATATCTTGTATGAAATGAGCGAGTGTGAAAGCAATCATCACTGAACTTTTTATGAGTATCTTTTCAGTCAAATTTATGCACTATTAAATAATCGAGATTATTGACATTAAAAATTCTATAAGCAATTACATGACACAAGTATATTTTATTTGCATTTGCAACTATAAGAAACAGAGAAAGAGACATCTATATCTAATAAATATCATATTGAACTACAATCAAAATAAAGAAAAACAACGCTAATATATACAAGGCATTAATATAGAAAAAGACAATATTTAAATGCATATAACACAGAACAAACACATAAGAAAAGTAGTTAGAGCAATAACAGATACAACCAAAAAACAGTTTCCATGCAATACAAAAAAAATCATTAAAACCACTGAGAAAAACGTTTTTGTGTTTCTAAATACAGTTGATCCAGTCTTTCCATTTCGGTGAGTTGAGATTTACTTGGTTTAATTAGTAAAACCTTGTAATCGAATTGCCGTAGGATAATTAGATCGGCCAAACGTTTTACACGAGATAGTGGTACATAAACTGCGGCAATATCTTCAGTTTCATTTGGGAGTTTAAGATCGATCACGACTTTATTCAAAGTTTGGCCTTGACTCTTGTGTGTTGTAATGCAATAAGCAGGCACCAGTGGTAATGCTCGACGTTTAATCGATAAAATTGCTTTTCGATTTGATTTTGGCTTCTTGTCTTTTGGAAGAATATCAGAAATGTCTACTCGAAATGTTTGTTCCATTACTGGTATTGGAACGAGTTTTGGTTGAAGTTCTTCAAGATTGGATTCAATTTTTGATTTGGCAATTTCTATTAATGCATATAATGGTCGATGAATGTATTGTGTATTTTTTGGAAATATTTCCGATAAAACATTTGTTGATACAGAATCTGCCTGGTAGACTAATTGTCGAAAGATTCCATTAATACCATTAATAAGACCAAGTTCAATAGCAATGTTTTGTGTTAAAATAACAGGCATTCCAGGAACAAAAGGTAATCAACCAGGTAAATGCTGTGTCTTGCTATCAGATAATTCCAATAATTTTTTTATAAGTATAGGATCTTCAATTGGTTTGCCATTACAAGTATCTTGAGCGACGCATACCATCGGGACGTCGCCTAATTGAGCTGCATTGCGAATTGCGGCCTTGTTGTTCAATTGTGTTCGTACTTCATTTCGGAACACAAGGGTCGGAGCCTAAATGAGACGAATATACACATTTGTATCAAAAGAAAAAGAAAATTTACTTTATTCCATGGTGAATCACAGAGAGAGCCTACTGATGGTTGCCCAACTACTCGTGTCAGCAATAGTTCATAGTCGTCATAGTTACATTGTCCATGACGAAGACGTTCAAGTAGCTGAAGGTACCATGAATCTTCTGTGCGCATCTGTTGAATAAGTTTTACCACACAGTTAATTTGAAGAATTAAAGAACGTGCAACACGTTGTTGAATTTCTTTTTCTGTGAGTAGTTTACCCGGTTTCTTTTTGGATGGTAATGAAAAATCAGTGTGTAATGGTGCATCATACACAGATCGATATTGTAAGTAATCACCAAAGAAGATAATGTGTACACTACCGAATGGAACTTGAGGATTGACATGTTTCGCAGTTGAAATAATTCGGTTGAGTTTTGCTAGTAGAGTTAAACCAACCATACTCATCTTATCAATTAAAAGATATTCGACTGATCTCCATTCTTTCTCAAGCTTTGAGTCAGCTGGTTTAATGATTCGTGGCTTTCCTGAATTGCGTTGTTCACCTAAAAATGAATGAATTGTCATTCCATCTATTTCAGCAGCAGCAATTCCAGTCGGTGCAAGTTTCCTCATCATTTGCATTCTTTTTGTAACGAGAAAGTATTTGGTAAGAGCACGAATAAGTTGCGATTTGCCTGTTCCGCCACACCCAGGTATGCACATGATGAGCTGACCATTATTGTCACCTAAACAGATTGTATATTTCGATTTGTAATGGCGTGTATTGTAAAAATACCTGTGCGACATCGGCTGTCACCATCAAGATGACTTGTTATGATCATAACTGCAGCTCGTTGTTCTCTGTTTAATGTAAATTCATTAATAATATTTGTCTGAGTAGGAAAGTTATTTATGACTTTGAGGACTGAAAGAATTGAACCATAGTTTTCAAAATTGTTTGTACTATAATTATTTGGATTCATCACTGTCACAACAGCATCTCTTGCAGCAAATAAATCCAATGTATCATCATCTTTGTCATAGTTTCTTGTAATTAAACTTCGTCTAACTCGTTCTTTCTCGATCTTCAGCTGTTCTGACCATTTTGTATTAAGTTGAACAAGATGAGGTGTTGCACAAAGGAACGGTATAAGTTGTCGATTAGCACGACCAATGGATGTATCTGACGAAGATTGGTAATGCACTATAATAAATTTTTTATCATTGTTTCCAAACCTGTTACTGATATAAAAATAATATTTACTGTTAGTATGATTAAATCGTCCAACGTTCTCGACTGCTTCGATAGTTTCTTCAATATATTTACTTTCTGTTGTCTTTCTTGTGGTATTGACTGCAACAGTTGTATATTCATCTAAATTGCCTAATAGTTCAAGCAAGTCATCGCTGCCATCCATGTTGTATTCGCCATGAACATCATGATTTACTGGCAAAAGTACAGGATCGATTGCACCATTGTCGACTTCAGCTTCAATAATAACTTTAAGTAAATGTTTATCACGGCCCTTTTTGCATTCGTGCAAAATTTGGATATTTTCTATGATCTTCCACGAATGTACAGAAATAAGATGTTGCCGAGATTTGAAGGCATCTTCCCATGTTTGGTTGGCACCACAGAGATCAGTAACTGTGCACCAGAGCACGAAGAGCGTGAGAAGAGCTCGACTGTATCGTTGTCGAGTGTCATCACGATCTTGTCGAGGAATTTGTGGACCGTAAAGAATAGGTACATGAGGTTCACTGATATTTCATCATCAGATGTGTTGATGCCTGTGGATGTTGTTTTTGAAAAGGAAAGCGTTCATTGGGTGGTCGACCTTTTTGATTAGCTTTTTCTTCTATGGTTTCTGTAGTCTTAGATAAATATTTCAGATCTGTTGTATTCATTTTTTTCTTGTATAGTGTGCTGACAAAATCATATAAGCATATGTTGTTGAGAATGGTCGAGCGATATTGATAATCAATTCGTGTGTTAACAAGTACATATTTTTTGTTATCTTCAGCAGTTTGAATTTGAAATTGTTCTTCATTACTATTTTCATCGTCGATAATTTCATCATCAAATATATCATCGTCGATCACATATACATGTGAAAGACAATAAGTTAGTTTTAATTTAATATATCTGATGATCACTCTTGATACAATAAATACTTCTGAAACATGAGATCAAATACCTGTATACTCACTATGAGTTGCAAGTTCCAACTTTTGTTGCGTACGTATTTCGTTTAATTCGGTTTGTAAAAATCGTTCAGTTTGAATTAGATAGAGACCTTGAAACTTGTGCGTTGTGTAATGATCATCCCAGTTCATAAGATAAGAGGCAACTTGAACTCCAGACAGTTCTTGTTGAGAAGCAAGTATGTTGTAACAACGTAAAACCAGTTTACGTGATCTTTCAATTGCACTTTCCTTGTCTGTGTGATCTGATAAATTTTTGAACGATGTAATGCTTTTTTGTACAAGAGCAAATGTATCATGAAAAGAGAGGCTCATCTTTTGTCACATAATCTGTAATATAATAAACAAGAGCCTTTGCATTGCTACCACTCCAAATAAATTTAATATCCATGTTGGACCGACAAGCCGCAATAAGGTATTCATTAAAATTATTAATCCATGGATCCGATCGTCGCATAGAAATATGGCCAGTATCAGGATCAATTGTCGAGACTAGTACCAATTTGCGTGGCATACGCAATCGACAAATTTTCTCGTCACCTTGTTTAGGATTAGAATACTTGTAACATGTGTCACTATGCTTGTGCTTGTTGCCTGTTTCCACAAGTTGTACCACATGTGCACGAAAGCGTGCTGCAAAATTAGGCGATGATGGATTTGGAGTTGGTAAGCAAGCTGGAATTAATTTTGATTCGTTTTGTGAAGCATTAATAACTAAAATATTAAATAATACTTTACTTTTTTCTATGATTACTATACTTTACCAGATGTTGGTTGATTACGCGTTGGCGTTTGTAAAAATTTATTTGGCGATGAAGCAAATTGTTCCTTTAACGGTGTTGATTGAATATTACCGGATTCATATATATTTTGTTTTAAACCTGCCAGATCGATGGTACTTAAAGCAGCATATATGTTATCTCGGGATAATCGCAGTGGCGTGTTCCATGGTCTCGGTACTATCATATAAGCAAAAAATAATATTAGAAATAAAAGCAAAAATTAAACTCTTCATACCATCTGAATTTTCGAAGACACATTTGTCTTTGAATTCATCTAAGTTTTCTTTGATGATGTCTTCTAAATATGCTTTCAATTTTTCACGAAAATCAGCATTTTGAATTTTCTCTTTCATATCAGCTGGCTTCATGTCATGATCAAGCCAAATAAGAAGATGCAAATGAAGAGAACCTCGTCCTTGGCTTTCAACGATACCGAACTAAGCTTTTATTGGACGAAGTACACCACCAACAATTAAAGTATCTAAGATATTGGTGATCAATAAGTGGAAAAATTTAGCAGTAGCAACAGGATGAGAAGCTACAATTTCAGCTCGTTTGTAAGTATCCATAAGTTGTTCTATTTGAATATTGTCCAAATCAAGCTTGACGCCAGCAAAATATAATGCCAAAGGACTGTGAATATCAGCTGGATTTAAAGTTAAAAGAATGCTTGGTAGCCCTTGATTATAGATTAATGCATGAATACGTGTACGTAATGCCGTACGTGAATATGCTGAACCCATAATTCGACCACCGATGGTTTTAATATGATGAAGTAATTTATTTAATGCACTGTTGGATTCCAAACTGTATGTTTTTTTGGAAATGTTATCGAGCGCCATTTCAATATCTTTACTTTTCAAGGATTGAATTTCATCAGCAGATGCTCGAAAGTAAGGTTTTGTTGCGATCAGCTGAGCATGAAAACAAGCATCACGTCGTTGTAATAAATTGAAGACGACAAATATAAAAATGTGGTTCGTTTCAAAACGTCCATCATTGTACGATAACAGATAACGTATGTGTTCTCGTAAATGTACTTTAACTGGACGCGACTGATCTTCAGGTGCTCCATGTCCATAACAGAATAAGGTTGGATACAGACCTACGAGTAGTTTTGGATTAAAATATTCGTTAACAGGCTTTGAAGAATGAGGAATCAAATGAACACTTTCGGTGTCCATCTGTTCTTTTGTTCCGTCATTTTTAATTTTGTGCAAAAGATAATTAGTAATTTCATCTGAAGACACTGATGAGCCGTTGACATCGAGAACAGCACTAAAAAAGAAAAGATTTGTGAAACAACTAATTTATTAGCTGCTCTCACCTGTTACGAATAGGAATACTATGTGTAGTAGTACGTTCTATTGGGTCGGATAATGGATCAGGAATATATCCAACTCTTTCAGATTGAATTTCTTCATCACCTATCTTCTGTTCCATCGTTGACATAATACATTCTGGTACATCATCTTCAGGTAATTGAGCAATATTCTTCAGATTTATATCGACAAGTAACGTTCATCGGATTCCGATTCACTCATCCCTAGACTAAAAGGCGATGAAATATGATGTGACTAGATATGTAAATGAGACTATCAAAGGGTACATCTCTC